ACGTTCGTTGTTATAGCGCGACTGTTGAAGTTGAGTGTATCGTAATGTTGTATTCGGAAAGAATAAACCAGTTTTATTAAGAAAGGACTTGTGTCGCTAAAGTTTCGTCGGAACGAATTTACGGAAAATCAATTAAAGAACGGAGAGGTAACAATATTATAACTGTCCATTGTTCTTTATGAATATCAGTCTCTCAAATACCTTGTCAGTAAAGCTAGTACAGATAGAGTAGGAAATTGTTTTCAAGGATCTTCCAATAATCTAGAAGATTGCTAGGAATGCAAGGACCATCGAGTTAGGTGTTGATCTCTGTTCTTTTTGAAGATGAGGTGGCTGGTTTCATGGAGGCAGCAAAGAAACTAAATAATTTACTTCTTTTACAATGGGGGTTTATAGTTCCTTTTGGTTTTATGGTTGGTGAATTATTTGTTGAGTAAACTTTCTTGATTTCTTGGTACAGGAGCATTCTATTCTATTCATAGGCCACAGGTCAGTGAAACACCAGTCAATTTTAAATCTGGGATATAATGCCACAGGCAAGCAGAAGACAATATTGTTACGTCTCCGTTTGTTCGTTAATTAATTTTCCGTAAATTCGTTCCAACGAAACTTTAGCGACACAAGTCTTTTCTTATATAAAACTGGTTTAATCTTTCCGAATACAACTTTACCGATACACTTAATTTCAACAGTCGCTCTATAACAAACGCTATAATTCTCAAAGAACGTCTCACGTGCTCGTGCTCTACAATACTCAGTTCAATTACACGTTCTCTGACTGCAGTTCAATTACTCATTACACTGTTGTTCCGTCACGTTGTGAACGTCTTATATATACAAGACTACCCCCAATCTAGTAGTCTCCCAACAATTCACGAAGGTTCGAGAAGGACGTTGCGTGATACTAGTCACGTGATCTCGCTGACGCAACAATATGTTGCTCATGCTGAGGCAGCTGTGCATGAACATGTTTCTTCAATACAGAGACAAGATTGAAATTATATCTTGACTGCATCCTGTCAATCTGAGTTATCGGTCTATAGACATATGGCACTACCTAACTGAAGGTAACAATGTTCTGACCTTGTGTGAAATATGTTGCTCTTCAAAAGATGTCAGTATTTTCATCAAATGTGCAAGCACAGTTCGATAATGAAAAGTAAGTTTCGATGTACCAGTATCTAGATTATCCAACTTCTCCTGGAGAATCTTCAATAAAATCTTACTCATCTTAATTTATGAGTTCCGTCATGTTAGTGTTATCAACTGAACTCTGGTCTCTCTTCAGTTGCTTGTTTGATGTGTTTAGGACATACCCTCTAACTGATTTCCAAAACTGTCGTTTCTGTTATATAAATGACCCTTTTCTATTTTAAATAATTTATATACAAAAGCATACATCATTTTTACTGTCAGTATTATAAAAGAATTGAATTCATTTCCTTAGATTATGATCTAACGTTATTAGAAACAAATACATAGAGTTACAACTTTAGTTGTGAAATTCGAAATATTATGATTACTAGGTTTAGGATTATATTTTAAAGTTGATTTTAACATTTGTATATATTAACAAATAACGCCTTATTTATTCTTACTCTCAGATAAAAAAAATTAAGACTTTTTTTTTAATTTTGCTCAAAACAAAACATTTCACCCATGTACTATTTCATTTTACACTTTTTCTTTATTTTGAGTCTTTATAATGCGCAATTTAATCAGAAGGGGTCAGTATTCTGAGAGTTCGATTGTTCACTTATTACTCTGGTTACCATACTGATGATATACTAATAATAAAACGTAACTTTACATAAAGATCCTGCTTCGTAGATATGACGAGCAGGTGTTGTTAGTTGGAATGCGAGTATTATGATTAGGCTTAAGTAAATTGTAGTGTCACGCACGTGCTCGTTAATATTTTATTTAAATAATTATGATGAAAGATTCTAGCAAAATTTTTTCAGGTTACAAAGCTCTAGGGTTTGTGAGTAATCATGTCCCTCTTGTTTTGAGATATATTAATAGAAGGAAAGAGAATTTGGCAATAACTGTGATCGGGAAAAGCTTCAATACGTATTCATGTGGAAAATTAGCCCTTCTCAGTACCAGCAGTCCACATCCCGAAGAAATAAAATGTATAACAGCAGACGCTTATCTTGTGTTCACTGGCTGCAAAAACATAATTTACTCATGGCAGAGAGGTACTGAGTTGAAGCATGTGTATCATGGACATGAAAAGGATGTACATTTATTGATGCCTTTTGGACCACATTTACTGTCTGTGGATGAAGATAGCGTGCTGAAGGTCTGGGAAATTAAGTCTGAGACTTTGTTTTTAGAATTGTATTTTAATAACAACACATTCCAAATCACTACAATTTTGCATCCAAATACCTACTTAAACAAAATTCTTCTTGGAAGTGAACAGGGAAGTATGCAGTTGTGGAACATACGAACCTGCAAATTGATTTATACATTTACTGGATGGAACACTCCTATTACTGCACTTGAACAGGCTCCAGCTATTGATGTGGTAGGAGTGGGACTTGGAAGTGGGGATATAATCATTCATAATCTTAAGTATGATGAAGTAGTCATGAAGTTTAATCAGGAATGGGGTCCAGTGACAGCATTATCATTTCGTACTGATGGTCAGCCAATTATGGCATCTGCTAGTTCATTAGGTCATATTGCACTGTGGGACTTGGAACAACAGCAATTGCAAAGTCAGCTTCGTGGAGCTCACCAAGAAGCAGTGACTGGCATGAAATATTTCCCAGATGAACCACTCCTGATTACATCATCTTCGGATAACAGCCTAAAGGTATGGATATTTGATTTACCAGATGGAAGTGGTAGGGTACTTAGACACAGAGAGGGTCATAGGGCACCTCCTACTAAAATTCAGTTTTATGGCTTATTAGCTGAGAATATATTAAGTGCTTCACATGACAGCACTCTTAGATCATTTTCCACCATTGGTGACAATTTGAACAAAAGTCTTGGTCAAGCATCTTTTGACAGAAAACTTGCAAAGAAGAAAGGTGTTCTGCATGACCAGAGAAAAATGCCTCCCATTCTTGATTTCAGTGCTGAAACATTTCGTGAGAAAGATTGGGATAATATAGTTGCTTGTCACAGAAATCTTGCCATGGTGACAACTTGGTCTTATGGTCGATGCACAATGGGTCAGCATAAACTTTTACACAAACGATTTAAAGGGCAAAAAGGTGTTGTAGCTCTGTGTGTAAATATGAGTTCTTGTGGAAACTTTGTCTTTATAGGTTATAACACAGGTCATGTAGACAAATTCAATGTTCAGTCTGGAATTCATCGAGAATCTTATGGGAAAGTTAAAGCTCATGATGCATCAGTAAGAGGGATTTCAACAGATGGGTTAAATCAGATTGTCATCACTGGGGGAGGTGACAGATTTCTAAAGTTTTGGAAATTTAAAGGTGGAGATCTACTTGAAGAGGTGTCATTGGAGTTTGGAGTGTGTGAGTTGAAACTCCATCGAGAAAGTGCGATGTTAGCTGTTGCATGTGATGATTTTACAGTATTAGTTGTAGATATAGAAACTCGGCGCATTGTCAGAACATTCCATGAACATTTTAGTCGCATAACAAGTTTAGCTTTCAGTTCTGATGCTCGTTGGTTGATTGTTGCTTCCATGGATTCATCTATAAAGACATGGGATTTGCCCTCAGGTACGCTAATTGACTGTTTTCTTACTCCAACAGTGTGTACAAGTTTGACCCTGTCACAAACAGGGGAATATCTAGCTACAACTCTTGCAGATAACCTGGGAATATACCTGTGGTCAAATGTAACTCTGTACAGTCACATCTCTTTGTGGCCATTACCTGTAGATTATGAGCCACAGTTACTAGATCTTCCTTCTGTATTAATTGAACATAACAGAACTCAACAATCATCAACATCTGATGATCTGCATGAAGGGTTAGAAGAAGATGAATTTGTAGAATTCAAGTCACCTGAACAAATTTCGAAGGATCTTGTAACGCTCTCTCTTTTGCCACAGTCTAGATGGCAGAATTTATTGAATTTGGATATCATTAAGGAAAGAAATAAACCAAAAGATCCACCAAAAGCACCTAAAGCAGCACCATTTTTTCTTCCAGTTATTCAAGGCTTGGAGCCAAAGTTAACCAATTTATCTAAAGATGAAACAATTAAGTCTAAGACGTTTTCATGGAAGGCACGGCCTCTTTCTCCATTTGGTTTGATTATTCAGGAATGTATGAAAAATGGCAATTATGTATCAGTTTTTTTGGAGTTAAAGAGAATGAGCCCATCGGCCATTGATATTGAGATGAGATCTTTGTCACCTGAAAATGGAGGCTCAGTAGAATTAATGATAGGCTTTCTTAGAGCACTGGAAGAGGAAATGAAGTCAAATAAAGATTTTGAACTGATCCAGTCATATTTTGGCTTGTTTCTGAAACTTCATGGAAGTATTGTATCATCTAACAGTGACATGTGTAAAATATTATGTGAATTATCTTGTGAACAAGAAAAAGCTTGGCAAAGACTGCAGTTGAAATTAAACCAAACTCTCTGTTTAGCTACATACATAAAAAATGCAGTTCTTTAAGTTCTGAAACTTTTTGTGGTCTTGATACATATATAATGTTATTGTGGTCTTGTTTGTTTTTTGTCAGATACTATGCAAATTACATTTACATGAAAAGTGAGTGTTAAATCAGTCTTTACATGTAGAAATAAATTTTTGGAATGTTCTTTACTGAATTAATGGATGACTGTTATGAGAAAAAGTTTATTTTTTCACTTTTTCAAATAAGTAATGCAATTCACACACAAGAAGTAACAGTAAATATGTCACCAAATATGTTATGATAAAATTGCACCAGTATTAATACAAAACAGGAGAAGCAGTATACTTAAAATGGTATAATTTTCTTTTTAAAAAAATGAGTCAAAATTGTATGTTTATGAATTTTAGGTAATGAAGTTTTTCTCACTTTGAATTATTACTGACACCATTTTCTCTCTCTCCTATTATTTGTAGAAGAATTAAAAAGAGATTTGATTCATGTGTTTATCCTTTTCTTTGTCATACTTTTAAATAAACATCTCTTATTTTTAGCTATACACAGAAACACATTTGGTAGTATAATTACTTATATTTGGCTTAATAACTGTCACATTGACATGAATTTTTCTACATGTAATTGCCCAAGATATTTCACAGATGTTTGTTCTCTGATTGTAAGTATTAAATTTTTTATGCATTTATTGCCAACACTTGCAATTTAATATACAACATTTTATGATTTCTTTTATTATGCAGTTTTGAGACTTATTACATACCTGTTTCTCACAACAATTAATTAATAACACACTTTTCAATGTTAAAAGAAAGGTTATATAATGCGGCCAATTGCAATGAAAAAGCTAAAATTTACATTCATGTCATCAATTGTTGTCACATGAAACTTGGACAGTTGGAATAATCTGAAACATTTAGTTTATTGATTAGTTTATTATTTTCAGGAGTCATGATACAAATTAAGGTGAGCAGGCTTGAATTATTGAAAATAATGAGAAATCATAATAGAAATATTTTAATTACTTGGATAGCTGGAATAATTGGAAATGCTAATATTTGTTAGTTTATTATTTTTATTAACATTATTGGATTTAATCTTAAATTAATTGATTATGTTACATGAAATTAATCAATGTAATTATGCTCATAGATAATTTCCCAACTCTTGTTATCAAGATATATTATGTGGTTGCAACTTTTTCTACTAACTGTAAATTAAAAGATGGATTTTGGTTGTAACTTGAAGAATATTATTACAATCAATTAATTTATTTGTAAGACAATTTAAATGATTTCTGTTCTAAGAGAAACTCAATATATTCTAAGGAAGTAAACTAAAAATAGTCATGTTTCACATATTTCAAATATTTATCAAATTACAATATTTAACTCGCTGCAGAACAATTTAAAATGGGATAGGACATTACATTTTTTTTCTATGTGATCTGCTTAAGTGGTGGAATAAATAGGTTTAAAATATAAACTTAAATACTGAATGAAATAGAGTTGGGATTTGAAAGTGAAGATGCCTATTTCTTCTATGAAAATTTGTTTGAAGTTATAAACTTGAAAAATGGCTGTTAGTTTGGATAGTACTAAACTTTATTTGTTAAGTATGTGGATATTTCTTATGAAGGCCTACATATAATTTTGTTTTCACTGGTAGATCATGTTAAACAAAGAGTTTTCTCAATGGAAAGAATGGCCTTTTATCTTGCTTGTTCTTATGTAATAATCTTAAGCACTGAAATCTTGATGCAGACTTGTTTTAAAACAAGGTACTTTTTAAAACTTTTCAAATGGTTTTCTGTATGATGTGTTCTTTGTTAAATTTTTTAAGCTTTTTTTTTTTGGTGGATGCATAAATTTGAAGAATTAAACATATATTTAATTTGGCATAGGCATTTTGTTTGCTTTGTTAGGTGAGTACAGAATGAAGTGAATGACTATATCAACTGTTTTCTTACGTTCTTATATTGAAAAACTTCACTACAAGTTAAATTATTCAAGAAGCTATGGTGTTATAAGAGAAACATTCTAGCAAAAACAAAGTGTCTTACACAGTTATTATAATAGTACAGTTTTCTCATATAATGCATGTAGAAACAATACATTCAACCTAACTTTTCCACAATGAAAATAGTAAAAGCCTTATCAGTATTGTAAAAATATTTCCATTTTTAAATCACACTACTTATATGATTTCAAATTGGCAATATTTTTACAGTAAAATTTAATATCTTACAATTTAATCATTAAGGATATAAAACTTAACTCTCAAGACAAGGACAAGGTTGGACAATTTTTGAACATTTTACATTCTCTAATCTACTTGCATTTATTAGAGTTAAATGAAATGTTTGTTTTGTTTTATCTACATTAAAGGATAAAATACTTTTGGCACAAGTGCAGAATTTAAATACTTTTTAATTTCACTACAGGATAAACTTTTATGTTCTGTTTTTTTTTTTAACTATTCTATTGAAAGGTTTTCAGTCCTTACCGGTTATTAATATGACTTAAAGTGTTTTAATATAAATGTGAACTGTTAAAAAAAAGTGTGAACAATAACCTTTGGTTTACTATGTACATTAGTGAAAACAGAATTACTGAACACAAGTATTTGTTATCATTGATGGATAATTCATAATATGTCCCATTTGTTTTAAAGAGACAAAGGTAATTCTTTATATGATATTTTGTTGAAAAATGATTTGGTCATTTTCAAGAGAGAAATTGATGAAAGATATAGTGATAACTCTATTGTAGCTTTACTAGTTACAACTGGGTACTGAAGACATTCCTCATTATTGGAAGACTGATAATGTGGCAATTATTTCTTGAAAACAAATAAGTGTTAAGGGATGATTTGGAAATTTTTAGGCCTGTTACTCTGAATTCTGTTTAATAAAGATATAATCTAGTATTTGATAAATTTCAACACAGGTTTAGATGATTTGCTAATTTTTTTTCATAAGATGCACAGTTCTTGGGATTAGGGCACCAGAGTTATGTTTATTTTGACTATCAGAAAGCCCTTGATAATATTAATAGAAAAATAATTAGAAATTTTTCTGTTATTTTAGTTGGTTAAAAATAGTATTGGAGCCAATGCTGGAGCTTATGAAGATTTAGATTGAGACCACTCAATTTGCTTGCTTCATCAGACCAATACGTATATGCAAACCTAAACATTTTTGGCTCAGCAGCCATTGTAAAAAAATAGTGCTTTATACTACAAATCCAGAGTGGGACTAGAAATCACATGAATGTAGCATATATTTTCTGATATGAATGAAAAATTAATGTTTATTGATTATGCCTGGTGCTCATCATCATTTTTTTTGTATTTTGTCTAAATAATGTATGCTGATTAGCTACAGGGAGTAAAACTTGTGTTGCAGTATGGAAACTGTCAACTACTTTGAAATAAAACCAGTAAGTTACATCTAATTAACCTTTTACATTTTACTTTTAGAAAAACAGTTTATTTTTCAATTAAAATTAGTAATCAGTCAATATTTAGAAACTTTTTGAAATTTATCATTATGAAAAGTTACACATGGCCAGTTTGAAACACCCAAGTACAAAACTTGAAAAAATAACCTTAAGGACATAAGAAACCTTGAAACTTAGATTGTGGATAGAATGTTGGGAGTGATGATTAGTGAATATAATCATGATGGGAAGTAGACTCCTCCAAAGGTCTCTTTAAGATGCTAATTATTCTTTATGTCAATGACTTAAATACCAACCTGATATTACATAAACCAAGATGCTGGTTATAGCTGATAGATTTAATATATATATATATATTTTTTCTCACTCTAATCGAGAAAAATCTTTAAAAATTGTGTCAATAGTGTAAAATTACAAACAGAGTACAGTTACATGGAAGGGATTCACTTCAGAGAGGAGTAAGCAATGGAGATACTTTTTACAAGGAAAAGGATTTAGGCATTAATAAGCTACAGTTAAAATGTTGAAATAGTAGAGTGAATGCTTTGAAATTAGCAGAGTTATCTGGGTTACCTTATAAGTTAAGAGGAAGAAGATTATTGTCTCCTTGTGTAGAACATTCTTTTTTTGTTGTTGTTTTATTTATGTTCCCTTGTTGTAAGAAGGATATTGACATGGCTTAAAAACTTAAGCAAAATGCATGAAATGAGGCTTGGACAAATGAGAGGTAGTTGAATTTCTCATTAAAAAAGTACTGTAATCATGAGAGACGTTTCTGATTTGAATAATCCATGGAAATCCTTTCTATTAAAACTACTTTAATTTATACAATATGTTGTCCTACTAATTCAGATAAATACTTCTACCATTGCAACACATGCAACTAACTTTGAAATACCATAAATAAGAAAAACTACAGAATTATTGATTTAAAAACAAAACTGGAGAAGGCAAAAAAAAAAAAACTATACTCAAGAAACAAAAGAAAATAGCTCTCAACCAAGACTAAGGAACTGATTACACAGTTTATGGATTGTACTGATCCAGAAGCAAACCAAAACACACCAAGATGATGCCAGAATTTCTTAACCAATGGAAGCAAGTTAAGTATGAGAGCCCTTCTTCATGGCCACATATCAAGCCATAGCCATATAACTCCAACCATCATCATGTTATTATTGATCTAATGAAGAGATATGTGTGACAAAAACATCATCCGTCTCCCAAACTATGTAAAATATAGCAAGTTGACCATACAACTTCAGATTGTACTCTAGTAATATTTCAAAATTCACTAATATTTGGGTTGATTTTATGAAGAAAATTATTTTAATTCATCAGGGCTGGAATCTCCTACTGCATGGCTTGATGGTGCTATTGTGGTAATTGTTTGAACTCCTACACAGTGTTTAGAATCTGAACAATTAATGAATGGAAGGGTCTCACCATGTGGTAAGTCAATTCGATGAAGCCATGTTCTTGTAACAGTTATCCAATGTGCTATAATCCCTTCCAGATTTTTCATGTTCTTTAATCATTTACAAGAAAGCATGGTCCACCCAGACAGTAAACCTCCTACCACAAAAGTAGTTGATAATGCTTCACAAAGAATAAAACTAAACAGATAAAATTAAAATATTCATGAGTGGTGAAATTTTGTGTAAAGTGAAATACACAGACAGGAGCTTATATGTCATACTTAATGTGAACTTTATGCACCTAGTGTCTAATTTTTTTATGATTTAATATTTTTAGTTGTACAGATTTGTTTATTTTCTGAGCATGCAGTTTTACTAAATATATTCTTAACATTTGTTTTATACTAAGTTCTAATTAAAATACACCACAATGTAGTTTTTACAGCCTGAAACAGAACATAAAACCTTTGCAGAATTACTTTGAAATTGCCCAAACTTCTACTAAACTGAAAGAAGTGCATTTGGAGTGAGATATGTGTTAATAATTCCTACGATTAGAAGCTAGAGTTTGGCCTTTGTATAATGGATAATTTGTTCCAGTTGCTTGTGTAGAGACAAGTCTTTACAATTTTACTCCTTTTCTTCCTCACTGGGATCAAGCACTGTTCATTAATAATGAGACCATAGTGGAAGCTACCTGTTGTCGTGATGATGATAACAGCAAATGGTACAGCTGTATGCTGGTCAACTGTGAGATCCTAATGGAGCCTGGCAGACCAGGATGTTCCTCGGAACAATTAAGGGATACATTTATTATAGAGACATAATATACATGAGTACATGAATGCATTTAGAAATGGCACTTGACCAGAGCAACAGTTTGCACTTAGAACTACTACAATTGTTTGTGGGCCATTACAACTTGGAAACCTATACTTCTAGTTGAACTTCTGACCAGTAAGAATTCATCATATTTTTCCTGTATAAAACACTTAACATTTCTGGCTATCTTGTATACTCAACTATCTGGTTGCATTTCTGTTTACTTCACCACCTGCACTTCTATCTTGAGAACTTCATCTTTAGTGACTTGTAGAACTAGTTTGCCGTGGCCAAGGTTCACAATGAATCTTAACATTTGTTTCAGTTGATACACTACTTATGGGCAAAGAAAAGTTGCAAGCTAACCCAACCAACAAGCAGGCTCTTGCAGAAGTCATGAATGGGTTAATTGTAAGGTCTCCAGGGACTATCCAGCTCCCATCCTCTTCTGACATCCTATTAATTTTGAAGCTTCAAGTATCAACAATGGCTAGACAGTTTTCTTTACCTGACATGCTAGAAGAACATAGCCTTCCAGTAATGCAACCAGTCTAACTAATGACAGTTTTGAAGACATGAGTGCCTCAGTGAAGGTTGAGCGATAGTCAAGTCTCATTTCAGTAAATACTTTTAAGTATCCTTCAGAAGTTTCAGAGTATACAAAAATGTTTACACCTACTGTACACACACTTCCACTGTGAGTATTACATATTGTACCTGAGACTTACCAGAGTTGAGACAGATAATCAACATTAGTCTCACCCATGCCCAATTTTCCCGCCTCTGTCTTACCCTCGGGACTTTTCTGCGGTACTTTCCCACAATCCATCTCCTGTCTGAGACCCTTTACAGAAATCCTAAGGGATTTTCTGGGGACATCCTCTCCCTCCTCACCTACACGTTGGCTCATTTGTCATCTTCGGCTTGATTTTACAAACATGTTGTTGGGTCCCCTAAGGTGGATGTGAATTACACTTTGCAAGAATATAAATTTTTATGGCATTACCATCCTCTGAGTGCAATGGTTTTAATAACTTCATAGGTTCAGGAATGTTATTGAAGCATATGCTACCTAATGTACAAGATACCTTCACTTCAATAACTCACTTTTCTGTCTTTGAAAAACAGTTAACTTTTTCTTTTTTTTGGTGCAAGAAAAAAGTGATATATATACACCTGTTTAATTAACATTTTTACATCTATCCTTTTTTTGTGATGCTCATCATCTGAACTTATAATAAATGTCCATTAAGCTGTATATATATGTCATAAAGGATAAAAGAACATTAGCAATCCAGGGCATCTAAAATTATTTTTCTTTTGAGATAATGAATAGCTTTGCTTAATTACAGTTTAAATTTATCAATTAATTAATTACAGCTGTGATAAGTTTATCCCTTTAGTACACTTTAAGTTATTTAACTAATTAAAAATAAGCAAGTGTGTTGAGGCATATAGTTGGAAATAATGTGATTACCTTTTACTTAACTTACACTTTTAATATTGGAAAACTAAAATTTAAGTAAAATCATTTGTTGAATTGCATGACCTTTAACAAGTTGTTACAATTAATAAATTTTTGTTGTTTGTTTTAAGGACAAAGCTACAAAATAGTGTTCTGGGGAGCTTTCCACTAAATACGAATTGTTTTATTTAAATTTGTGAGTAGTATGTCAGTTTAAAAGTCATCTACTTCAAAATGAGAATGATCTACAAAAACTTGTACAACATTGCTCAGTAAAATTATTAGCATTAATTAGTTCTAAATTGTTTTTCATATTTTTGGTAAGTGCATGATTAAACAGCTTTTAATTTCTTGTTTTTAAAATTTTAAGTTTTATTGACATGTATGTATATTACTTACTATCTTCCATTAAAAGCATTTTTTTATATTAAGATTCCATTTGGGGAAATGACTGATCTATAGACTTTTTTTTTTACCATTTTCATTGTTATGAATATCTCCACAAGTGTTTATAGTGCCTTTTTTTCTTTATTATTGGTCACAAAATTTCAAAGTACTTCTCTTCAGAGTTTGAACAGCTAAACATTTCACATTTATTTTCCGTGTTTATTTTACAGTCAATGACTGAAAAATAAATTCACTGAAAATAAAGCAACAAATCATCCCTTGTGTCATTAGACTGTTTATGTGAAAACATAATACAATACCCTTGAGAACAACAAAGCAAGCTCACATATATAAGCTGATTTGATCCTAGCTCCAAGAACACAATGTGGAATTTATCGGCTTATATATCTAGTGTTTACAATGAGAATTCCACAAAGTAATAAGATTGCATTTTGAATCTGTGAAAACATTTATTACCTTATATGGTTAAGAGCTGATCAAATAAACATCACAAGTGATTGAATATTGGTCCCCCTTCCAGGATGTTTGAAATTTTGCAGTATACTTTACAGGCATACACAGATAACTGCCTGTTTTATCAAGCACCTGTATAGAGAATGAGACTAAAGACATTAAACCGGATTATCGAGGTGCCCATTATTGAAGATATATTTGGTTCCAAATAGTAGGAACAAGAAAGAGACTGAAAAGATCTGCCCTTAATGGCATGGTGCTTGTTGTTTCAAGTTTCTACTGTATCTTTTCCTCCCTTGAAGGAAATCACTACTATCTGAGAATACCACAAAGTCACAATCGGACAATTTTTTTATATTCTGCCCAAAAATATGATTTTCTTGAAGATAATATAGGTACCGGTATATTTTAATTCTGAATGAAAATTTAAATAACCATTTTAAAAGTAGTGAATTATCTTTTATTACAAGTAAATGATTTATTTAAGGCATTATTATAAATTTGTACAACTCATATTTTGTTTTTCAACTGTCAGCAACCTTTACAATACATAATAATCACACACACAAGGTTAAAGTTAGATAATGTAGTTATACGTTACGTCTTTGCCCCCCCCCCCCAATAGCCTTACTTATCATTGTTTAACCCATTAACTGAAACTGCTCTAAATGCACACTGAATTTTTGTAAGCCATACACCATATGTAAAATTATTTTACTTAAATTTTAGTTTTTCCAATATTAAAAGTGTAAGTTAAGCAAATTGGCAGTCAATGAGTTAAACTTTAAAAGCCTTATATTAGAAAGCAACTACAAACAGATTTTTAAATAATTATTTATGTCAAGAAAAAGACATACAAGCCATCACAGAATTATAAATCACTACATTTTTCAAAACTTACATTCATAAGAAAGACAAATTTTACAAAAAAAACTAATATTCAGAATGATCATGACGTTAAATGAAAACATATCCAATTAATCCCATTTTTTAAATGTGAAATTTACAAATTCTTAAAAGGTATTTTATCTGAAGTATAAACCATAAAAAATCCTATTCAGTAAACAGCAATGTTTTAAACTTTTTCTGGTAAAAGCTTTGCAATCACAGTAAGCAAATGGTATACACAATATAAAACATCCAGGCATACACTTTGTTTTACACACTTAATCAGATGCATAAAAGGAGTATTATAATTCCTTGTGCCTGAAACTTATAAGATGTAAAAAGAAACACAGAATTATCATTAAGTAGGCATGCTAATTTTACTAAGTTTCAAGGTCCCAGAATTCCATTGGTTTGCACTAAATATTTGGTCCCACCGTACAAAAGTGAAATTCACTTGGTCTTCCAGATAAATTTATAATGAGGACAGACTGGTTTTGTTCAAAATATTATAAATACAACATTAGTAGAAAAATCTCTAAACTTACACATACATTTTGGGAAAAGAAAGTCATCACAGAAACACTGTGTAGAGAATTATTTGCATTTAAGTAAAAAAATTATTACGTACTAATATTTTTTTTTTTTTAAGATATTCAAGGTTTGAGATTTACATGTTTTTAGATAGCTTGAGGGACTGTGAGCAAGCATATCTAATTTTTATGTAACTGTTAGCTACTTTTTGTGGTTTGACTATCTTTACAATACTTAATATGCCATTACAACTACAAAATATTTTCTCTACACTTAATATTTTTTGCAGTAATCCATGAACAAAATTAATGTATACAGTTTTACTAATGTTCAAGATATACTTACAATGACCATTGGAATTATATCCACTCATTTATACTAGTAGTCCTTTTGTTTAAAATGTTTAGATTAGCACATAATGCCTGAAATTTTTAAAATATTAGAATATAAAAACAATGAAATTAGAATATTTCATATATCACAGATCTTCCACAAAATCTTTAACATAACATCATTTAACGATCATGGTCAGATAATTAATGTTGATTGTTAGATATGAAAACAAAGTGAGTAATTTTTATTTCATTTCAAGCAATGACAACCAAGATACCAAAAAAACAACAAAAAACTTGTTTCTAAACAATAAATAATGGTTTACTGACTATATTCAAAGCAGCAGAATAAGTACTTTAAAGATTAAAAATACACACTTTGGTTCTTTCCTTATAAAGGAATAAAAAAAGTTCACTGACCTCAGCAACAAACAATCAATATTAATATCTTCTTACTTTAGGCAATAAATATGGCAATGCTCAGTAAAAATAGCAGTGCTATAAATTTATAGATTTTTCTGTTTCCATCTAAACTTATAGTTTAGGACATTCACAAGATTCAACATCCTTTGAGAAAAGGTATAATTTAATTTTCTGTTAGAGAAAAACTTCCTAAGCTTTTCATTTATGATGTGTCAAAATTTATGTTTTTTTTTATTTTTACATTTTGTTTCATGATACTGTATACCTGCAGCCAAAATGTGTTGATACAAAATCAGAATTACTACTAATTTTTCTATTAACCATAAAATCATGATTAAACAACTTATAGATTTGAAATTTTCTGCACTAAATTTTCCAATTGTGAAGAGTTAGAAGTTTATATTATGAACCAGCTGTGAATAAAAATAAGTAAAATCTAATTTGACCTCACAATTTCATTTGTGATCATAGGAGACCTTTCTGAATATAGGCAAGTTATGATTCACAATAATTTTCATGAACATCTCTATTTGTAGCATGAGTCAAAAGTTTTTTTTTTAATATCACAGGGCTTAAATCAATTTCAATTTACTCCAGTTTAACAATTCCATATAAACAGTCAGTAAATCTTGCCATATTCCCAAGTAAAAGAAACCAGATACAAATGTAAACAACTCCCTTCTTAACATACCATCTAATTTAACTAGAAAGCTAGTTTAATTGGACTAACAATACACTGAATACTACTTACAAATAACCTAATAAGTAATGGACTGCATATTACCTGTGAATAATGTGATCTTTGGATTAAATTGAGCAGTGATGAGATACTGGGATTTCCTTTATTATGTGTTTAAGGTAATTGCTGATATTAGCTTTAGAGTAGAAGTGTCTTCTGGTCAAGTATTGTAACAATTCTACAATTTTAGTATCTTAAAAACCAATTTTGAAACTTTGATAAGATCTGAAGTTTTGAACAGGAGTTAGAATACGAATTCATAAAATGTCTTACATTTCAGGACTTTTATTAACTTTTGGATTATCTTCTAATTGCATATTGTATCCAAAATATGAATTCCTTTCAAGACTGTGACATCTGGTCTACAGCCATCATGAGTTAAAACACTTAAGCTACTGGTTGTAGTTTTATGGTACAAAGTATTACTGAATACAAATGTCTTGAGGAATTAATCACAATAATTATTACATGTTAATACAAATAAAATGACAAGATCAATCACAATAATAGTGCCCTTACTACAGTTGGTATCGGCAACTAATTTCAAGATACATGTGCAGTCAACACAGTTTATTTTGCAACTAACTTGTCCCACGAATGTTTATGATATATATATAGATATTAATAATAAGGATTAGTTGTCTTTTGGTACTAAATGGTTGAAAAATCTTGAAGAATGTATGTTATGAAACAGGTATCATATAGATTAATATCAAAATACAGGTTTATGTCAGCAGGAAGTAACTAAAGAAGTGCTTCTAATGAAGAATACTTTATCAACCATAAAAACTGAAATGATTGAAAAACAAGTAACTGAAAAGGGAAAAATATGCAAGTTTCTGCCTCAAATCCCCATTAGACCACATGAGGAATGGTGAAACTGGCAGAATGTTTTTATCTGTATGTCTTTCACTATCACAGGCAAATGTGTGTCCCTATCTACAATGCCATGCGAGTGTGGAATTTTGTATTACCATGAGAAAAGGCTGTTCTCCCTTCAAATTTCTCAAAGTGTACAAGTAATGAAATATTAAAACATGTCTTTTTGTTTCAAAAAAAGAATATTGTGCATATTAAATGTCAAAAAAATTTTTAAATTAATTAAGAAGTATCTAATGAAAGTTTTATTGATAAAATTAAGTCAGTGTGAATGGTGAAAGTAAACCTCAACTAATGAATTAAATTACATTTCCAAGCAGTCTATAGACTACAACACAACTTTACAATTTGTATTAGCCTGGACAAGTAATGAAAACTAAAACACTAAAATTAGATAATTATCTTTCTACAAACACACACACAAAAGAAGTTTGAAGAATTATACTAAGTGTCTCATACAATATATGTCATATAAAGGTTGATATGATCAAAATAAGTACATCTAGTTGGCATATGCATAAAATTAGAGCTGAACCAGCTTGTAGACATGGTGGTACCTTATACAGCAACAATTCCCAAAATAAATTTTATTGAGAATAACTTCCTACTAAAGATCATGGCAAACATCAAGAAAACACACTTTCAGATAAGCAGTAAATTTAGAGATGGTTGGCTTGTAAATATAAGTTAGATATTAATAAATATGGAATTTCATCTACAGTATCAAAAAAAAATTCATAATTTTTTTAGTTTTAACACCTGCTACACCAGCGAGCCTGGCATTTTGATGTGGATAAAAAAAAAGAAAGAGTCATTCTACAAAGGTTTGGGTCATTTTGATCAGACAACAAGACGATGTTTTGTACTATTTTCGTGGTCTAGGTCATTGAACCAGACCCGTGACCATGAGAGTCAACATAGAAAACCTAACTTGTAAATTGATGCAACAATGAAATATGCTTACAATGTTCTAGATGGGATGTGAATATGATGGTTTAAATGTAGCAATTAAGTTAAACCGTGGATCCAGGTTGGATAAGGAAAGAACTTATTCACAGATATCCCAATCAATTTGAAATACCAGCTGAATCGAAGAATCGTCAATTGATTACTGCAGTGATAGCAAAACATAAAACAATGGGCACAGTAGTATTGTTATCTTCAAAAAAAGGGGATTGGAATCATTATATAAGAAATCACTAGTTTCAATATTTCCCTAAGAATTTAATAACCTTTGATAAAACTATACCACATGTCTGCAAGCTTGATTTACATTACAGTTGAATTTTTTTCAGGAACTTGTCAAGCTCTTCAATATATTCATCTTTATGGTGATAGAAGTGGCTGACATGGGCAGATTTTTCCCAACACTTCCATGACACATCTATGTTTTGAGCTTGCCAAATAGCCATCAACTTTTGATTGGCCTGTGGATTTCCCACCATATCATCTGCCGAGACCAACAATAAAGCAGGACACTTCAATGGTGAGTTATGGAAAGCATTGGATGCCTCTATGTAATGTTTAGTTGCAATATTGTACATAAGGTGAAGGTGATTACGAATGTAAAACTCTACAAATTTGACTAACAATAAATTACTTGTAACAGCACGAGGAAAACCTTTTGGAATTCCTTCAAAGCCAACAGCACTATCAAAAATTTGTCCTTTAAATCGACTAATCAAACTTAAATATAAACTACTTTCATTCAACTTTCGTAAAAACTCTCCAAACAAATATGCTCCAACGGAAAAACCATGGAATATGATCTTTTCATACTGCTCTTGCTCTAAGAAACCTAGTAATGACTGAGCAAGGATATGACAGCCAGATGTAGGTAGTAACATTTGGATGGGGGACATTGTCACAGTGAGAATATCAAACCCTCTTTCTAAATAGATATTGCTGTATTTTTTAAGGTGGTGATCCTTAGCCATCATCCAAGCAAGGAGTACAACTAATGGAGTATTGGATTCATTTGATGAATCATTTCTTGTAAGCTTCATATTTTTACTGAGAGCATTTGTGTGGACCTGTGCAACAGTGTGAAATACAACACAAGGCAGCAGCACCTGTTTTGAAATAATACAAAATAAATATTGTTAAACACTTTAATAACCAAAATTATCCATGCTTTATTTTTCTCAGTTTTAATACTAGAACTTTACACTGAACTTAAGAACATTTTTTTACAAGTAATTATGAAATATGGCTCTGCAATTTCTAAAATTAGTTTTATTTAAGTAACAATTTAATTCATATGAGGAAAAAATTTATCATTTTATGTTATCTGGTACAGGCACACATTTTAATATCACTGGATTTCATGCGTGCATGCCTTTCTTTCTTTTTTACATTAAGATATACTGATTTACTATATAAAACTTATATTAAAAAGGATTCAAAAAATTAAAGAGCACAATGTTATTCAGAACTGAAATCAAACTTCAATATTTGTAGTGTTTCTCAGCCCTCATCTCATAGTTCTGCCCATCGATCCTCAAGTTACCACATTTTCATGTTTAGTATGATCATCACTGTGCAGTAACACAAAAAGAAACTAACAGAAATAATACAAAATGATAATTCTTAAAGGCAGTTAAGAAAATAATATTAAACATACCAGATGAAGTAGCTCTTCAATAAAGCATTAACAAAACAGAAAAATAGTTAATAAAAACTGATAAAAAAAGAAACACCAACACGAATATATATACCAGTAAAAGAAGGATTTTTTGTTTGTTTGTTACTAAGCATAAAGCTACACATTGGGCCATCTGTGCTATGCCCACCACAAATATTGAAACTTAATTTATTGTGTTACAAGGTCTCAGAATTGGGAGGGTGTAAAAGAAATACAAATCTGAATACTTCAAAACAAGTGTGAACAAAAATAGGTCAGTAATTCAGAGCTATAAAACAAGCCTCATTTGAACTATGTTCATTAAGGAAATGTATATAAAAGAGTAAAACAGTGGTAAGTTAAGTATGTTTTTAGAAAAGTCTTTTTAGCAGAATAAAGATAAAGGCATTCCAAAATTTATGTGAAGTTAAAATAAAAGAATAAAGATTTAATCAGTCAAAACCTGATGGTTGAAATGAACAATAAAAGGTTTGGTATCTTATGATTAATATCAGTTAAGTATTCTTAAATTCTAATTTCAACGGTAGCCCAATTTTTATTGTACAAAAGGCAACGTAACTAAAAAAAAGGGGGGGCAACAGATTAAGTAAACAATATTAACAGAATGACAGACAGAAGGTTTATAAGTGATTTGTTTTTAATATTTCTTATGTTACCTGCTATAGATGTGTATCTAAAATGTTGAAAAATACAACTTTAACAGAAATTGCATGTTTGAGGAATTTTCATCCTATTTAGCCATTTCCAAATTACCAAAGACTCTTTGGATCATTAGGTCCTCAGCAGAAATAGCAGGTCTTGATCCCTCGTCTCTCTCACACCTACTTACTAGCCACTTTCCATAGCAGGCTGGTTCAACTTCCTTGAGTTATAAAATTTTACCATTGTATCTGCAACCCCTCAATATTTTTACACACACTTCAGAAATCTACAATGATTCAAATTTTAATCTTTGATTATATATCAGTTCCAACATACTTTGCATTTTGATAAGAATTAACTAACCAGCTTTAATTCTAGTTTTTAACTCCTTAGTTTGGTACATCATACAACTCCTACAATTTTAAAGAAACAAAATTCATAATTATCATGAGAAATTTACTTCCATAATTCAATTGTAATATGAAACTTGTAACATCATCAGCTGCATACACTCTTTCAAGTGATTCTCTAAGCCAATGCAACTGTATGCCAATGATTCTAATTCCTTTTACTTCACAACACAGGTTACAAATTTAAAACCATTCTTCCAAAGACCAGTAGCACTCAACCCAACAGAATCTTTAAAATACTTTCTCCAAAGTTATCATAGTGTTCAACTGTCACAAAATAATGGAGAAAAAGCATTTCTGGTTTGAATAAACTGCTAATTACTGCATTAGATGGTCTTTCTATTTCAAACTTAGTCCATCTAACAGTAGGTTCTCTATTAGCACACTTATTTTGAACTTCGTGCAGATTTAACAATATCCTGCACAGATATATCTGGAACTGCATACAGCCTTCTGCTTAACTGAATCCACAGCTTTTATGGCTCTTATGGTATTCAATCCAAATAATGATAACTGATTCTTAATGAAATGAAATTTCTTTATCCTATACTCTTTAAAGAGGATTTTAACTCAGTCAAATTTTGTTATAAAATATAACTCCATGATGGGCCTCTTTTTAACAAACATCGAGGGCTTCGAGGGTAAATTAGGCTTCAGTTTTCATTTAAAAAATTGAATTGATATCTCACTTTCTATTTTCCATCATTGTACTCTCTAACTTCATCTGCAAGAAGATTTTCACCTCTTGTAGATGGTGTCAGTTTGAATAAGATTGGCTATAGATCCATGAAGGAATCAGTTACTGCATATTGCATCATGCTGAGTAATTTTATATTTTTGCCCGTTATATAGCACTCATAGTAATGAATTGACCAAAAGATTGAGTGAAATCACTCACCTTCTATATAAAATACATAGGGTAATATGTAGACTCGAAAAGTACACATAATCAGTGGAATTAATCACAATATTAATGGTATTATTATTATTATTTATGTATGTGTATGACCTGTGTGTTATTAAGGATTCTATAATAAAATCATAGATCACAAACAATTTGGTAGATAAATAGTTTAAGAAAATGTGGTGAAAAGCTAATAGGGTCCTGGATCCCCATTGTTATTTTATTGGGTTAATGCAAATAAATCTAATGCAGCTGTAACAGATTTTCCAAAAGGAAGACCTTTTACATTTGCAAACTTCCAACCTTTATTTCTTCAAATTAAATGTTATATCCATGATTACTGACCAAGAGTTATGAGTCACTTGAATCTCTTTTCTTCCAACATTTAGGATTTCTTTATAGATGATCAAAATGAGTTTATTCTCTAATTTGGTGTTTAACAACTCATCCTGCATATTAATGGCACTTATAGCCAAAGTTTAAATTAATGATATGATCTAGTGTATTACTGGTCAAATCTGGAAATTCAGGTGAAAATTTAAGTATTTTCTTTTTTGTTTGGTGAATTTCTATCTGAAAATGATTTAAATGTTTTGATCAAATCATGTTTAATTAAAATGACTAACAATAAAAAGGTCTTAAACATAACACATAATAACAAATTTGCTATCATTTATGTGAATTGGACTATGAATTATTTTCACCATATAATTTTAAAAAAGCCGATTAAAGAACAACATTACAACAACATATTTTTTCTCTCCTTTTTATCAATTTGTTTTGTTAATGCTTTATAGGCTATTTTAAAACTCCAGTTATAACAGTTATTTTTAAGTGTTGGATCTTTTTTGCTTGGCAAAAATAGATGAATAATTAATGATTTTCTCTACCAATGCTATCTTATTTAATTGAGATAAACTAATATATTTCATTATACATTTACTATTTCAATAACATTTTCTGCATTATTTTTATAAATTTTACTTTACACTTTAAAATTTATTTAATTGATTATCTTTTCTGTTTGTGAAACATTTGTATTCTGATTTCAAATTTTGTTGCAAAAACCTAATCAGAAAATTAATTCTAATGTTTTTAAACCTAATGAATGTGATTTCACATAAGGTTTGATTGCAAACACTTTTTTGCCACAGTTTTCATTTTATTTAATCCATTACAACTTTTGAATAAAAGATCACTGACCAGGAGGTCCTCTTATTCAATTCCAAAACTCATATTCTAGATTGAATACAACATTTACATGATTTAGGAAAACGTGTCAAAAAGAAATTTGTAATCAAATGGTTTTTTCAACTAGACAATTGAAAAATTCCCACTGCCTTTAAAAGAAGTTTCAATTCTTTTACTAAAAAAAGTTAAAATTTTGTTGTTTATATTTTGCAACTTGACGCTCAGATTCTCAATTCACATCAATTTCTTTTATGATATTTATTTTTTGGAATACCATAAAACAAAGATATACAAAAGTTAATGGTTTTAAAAATTTCCAGACATTTTGTTTTTGTTAATCAATTTTTTATCTTGGAGTAGAAACTGAAACCTGGTGGGATTTAAATTCAAGTCTTTTTCAAAGATCAAATGGTCTTGAACAAAGTATTGTAGTTGTACAAGGCAATTAGTACAGTGCAAGAGCTGTTCAAATTTTAAAAACTGATAACAGGAGAACTGAGATATGGCAAATTAGAAACATGGTAATAAATCAGTAGATTTGAATCCCACTCTTAGTTGTAACATTACAAGACAGTGTGCCATTCTGAAAATTAATTCAGTTGAAAGCTCATGTGACCTTCAAACAAGAACTGTAATAAATGGACATGGGCTATGCAAGCTGATTAGAACAGCTAAAGCATCATGCCAAATTACATCCTTACACACAGTAAAATAAGAACCTGACTTGTGGAATTCAAGAACAGATAACTTAGTTTAATAGGTTTTGGAATTGACAGTAACAGCTAGTTAAATAAGACAGTAATTTATGTTAACAAGTAGATGCTATCTACATGGATGAATCTTAATTAGCTCTGGCCACCACTTATAGCTGCAATACTGATCTATCCATATCAGTATTCAATGGTATGTACATAAATACATACATTATTTCTTATAAATATGCATCTTTTCTTTTGGAGTTTCATATTCAGCTTTATATTTAACAAAAATAAAAAATATTATCTGATTGGTCAATAAGACTGTTCTGCATTTCGTGTAATACAAGACCTACGAAGGTACAATAACTGAAAGAATATACATTCTGAAAGTTTTGCATTATTCAATGGAGTTGTAAATGCAGGTAGAAAATATGTTAATGAATTTTAATTGTTAATTTGCATTAGTTAGATTAGCATCACATAGATTATTAATGTGTGGAGTTTAAAATAATTACTACAAAATAAAGTCAGACAAGATAAACTACTATATGCTAAAAAATACTAAAGATACATCTACTGCCAATAATAGTTTTGAACTTTCTTTTTCTATTAAACAGTTAATAGACTAAAGGTTATCACATCTTTGTTATTTTGTCATTTAATGTTTTGCATCATATTAAAAGAAACAAAGGTCTCATGTTTTTCACATTTGTAATTTTGATTTCAATTTATACTGTTTCAACAATACTTTTGTTACTGTAATGAGTGATGGCTACTAATTTGTCTACTCAAAATATAGAGCAAGCAGCCAATTCAGAGAGTGATTTCTTTACAAGGCTTACATAAGGTATAAATTTGGCTAAAGCATCCATCAGGTAAGTTGAGTTTAAATCTTACTCAATCTCAGTTTTTATTCATTTGGTAAATTTATAGGGAAGCAGTTTATCCTTACAAAGAATATATTTGTTCACAAACATTTGGTTAGTTAACATAAAGTGTCATGGTTAAAGCTGTTTTGCTTATGCTAGCATAAATAATGAAAATTATTGCTAATATGTCAAAGACATATCTCAAAATCAGTGAAGTCATCATTAATTCCCTAGGAAAATATTTCATATAAGCTCACAGTGCATATTTAGAAGCATCTGACACATCTGCAATCTTAAAAAGTGTTGCATCATAAGAGTGACAAAAAATTTAGCAGTTTGTTTAAAACTTAATGAAATGGAAAATATTAATATATAGATAGTATTAAATTAATAACCTTGTATTAAATCAGTTTAACTACTATATATATATATTAAAGTGAGTGATGTTTATATTAAGAAATCAACATAAGGTTGCCCTAGAGGTTACGTATAAATACTAAGTTCATGTATGATTACATACCATAAATGCTAAGTTGTTAGTCAAGTGATATGTAATCTTCTGGAGTGGATAGAAATGAAAAGCTTTGAGATTTGAAGTTAGACTATCAAGATATATGATACATCAGATATTTGACTGATAAAAGAAACTACTGGCACAGTTCTTGTATCTATGCAAAAACAAAATTTCATGACTTTTCAATGACAATTTTTAGAAATTGAAGGATCATTTCATGTGGGTTACACAAGAAACTGCACCTAAACATACGTGTTTTCAAATGTAAATGTTATGAAAATACTTATGGCAAAAAGGCAGAAATATTTTTATTACTAATCTAGCAGTGTACAAATGTAACTGAATTGTTAGTAATTAAAAGAAAATCAAAGTTAAAGTGTTTTAGCTTTTCTTATTTGACAGCTTCTGTTCAATTTTCACTTTGAGAGCTTTCAAGGATTCTTCATTCTCTCTTACAGCTTTCCTAAGTGGATTGGCTGTAAATATGAGATATGGAAGGAAGGGAAATAACTGGAGAGGATAACACACAGCAAAAATGGGAAAATAAAAGGGAAATGACAGGGCCACCCTATAGCCTGCAATAGTTGAAAAGAACATACCCTTGTTAAGCAACCATGTAAAAATCAAATATCTGAGTAAGGGAAGGAGAGGAGGGGGAGAATCTACAACAGATAGACTAACAATAGAATAATCTCCACTCACATTGACACACAGACATGGATGAGGAATGATGTGTGAGACAACAGAGATGCTACATGTGTGGATAGTCCTGATCCACTCGCAAGAGGCCAACAAATGGTACGGTACGTCTAAAGCCAGAGTGTGGGAATGGAGGGATGAAGCAACCCTGATTAAGGTTGCTGGATGAGGGCCCAGGAGAGAGGAAGAGGTAATGGAGGTTGTTCTTAGAGAAAGACAGAAACCACAGTTGAGCCAGCCAGAAAGGAGCCACAAGAAGGACTCGACACAAAGTGGACTGGATGAGAGAAATTAATCAGGATAGAAGGTGGATGCTAGAGTATGCATAAAGGAAAGGTTCTTCCAATCCTGGCTGAATGCATCTGTGACCAAAGCCAAAGGATTTGGAACTGGGGATCAAAAGAGAGGAAGCTTGGCATTCAATTGAGAGGCAAATGCACCAAGTTGGGGAGTATCCAACTGAGAACATAGCCATCAGAATACATGGGGTTGAGAGACCACTTCGTGGGTAGAATCTTGTCTGAATGGGACAGATGATCTGTGACAAGAATGAGGGCACCTGGTATGTGACAAACCAACAAATGAATTTGATAGCTGTGAGCCCAGAGAAGGAGAGTGCATGAACATAAAAACCAGGATCAAGTGCTCCATTAACTGATGATGTAAGAGATAACTGTTATGTTGACAGAATGAATTATAACTATCATGCCCCACTGAGATGAAAGGAAATGAACTATTGCCTGATGACCAACAAGGAGTACCAAAAGATTATGTGATGACCTAACTCCTCCTGAGACCAACAGCCCGATATCTTCTGTTATTGCAGCAAGCACCTCATCCTGACAATGAGGCATCTGTGAAGACATGACAATCCGGAAGGGTAGAAGGAATAGTTCCCCACTGTCTTGTTGTCCCTGTCTAACCAGCAGAGGAAGTTAGAGTGAAGGGAAGCAGGAAGGGATATCTATAAATCCAGAGGGTTTCTGATGAGGTGCCAATGATCTTATAGTGTCCACTGCAAGGAGTGCATTTAAGCATGGCCTAGAAGGATAAGAGCCTTTAGTGATGCCCAAGTCCCTAAAACAGACAGAATCTCTCATGCAGGGAGAGAAGGTGCTGATAGTGCCTTCTGAACTAAAACCTCCATGGATTGTAGAGGAAGAGGAGAAGGCTAGGCTTGACTGAGATGTGAGCAATAGGAATGTGAAAATAAGTGTCAGGCACATTGAATCTAATCATCCAAAGCCCTGGAAGAAAGGCCCATCAGAGAGAAAGTATTCCATGGTGAACTGAGGCACATCAAGGAAACAATTCAGATGGGAAAGATCAATAACAGGACACCAATCCCCAGTCATCTTGGGGGCAACAAAAAGTCAGGAACAGAACCCTGGAATCACAGAAAAACCTACCCAATGGTGTCTTTGATGAGAACATCTTGAACTGCTTCTGTGAGATCCTGGGGGAAATGGGATCTTGAGGGGGGAAAGGAACTGAGAAGGGAATAAAGTGGGAGATGTGAGGAAAAGGAGGGAGAGTCCTTCTGATAAAACCCAAATGACACAAGTGTTGGTGGTAAAAGTCTCCCACACTTTTGAGAAATGAGTAAGCCTGGTTCTCACAGGACCCAAATCCATAGGGTAGTCACTGGTACCACTGACATTATACAGGACATTGGTGAACAATGATACAATATGTAGATGTGGTCCAGGAAAGAGGAACCAGGAAATAAGAGGAAAGAGGAGGGCAGGAAATTGGAACTGGAGATAAAGAGGTTGGGATAAATGGAAAGTAAGGGAAGATAAGGAATTGTGCAATCTAGCAGATTCAACACACGACTCCAAAGTGTTTGTAAAACCAACAAAGACTGCAGATCTCAGAAAAAGGGATGATTGAAGATCTAGCAAGAAAGGGGAAAGAACTCACATGTGTGTCAACAAAGCATCCCAACCCAAGATATCCCAGCAACACAGGAGCCAAATGTGGAGTGAAAGGGCAGATGAAGATAATTTGGGCAAGTTGGTGAGTTGGAGGAGATGGGCTTCCACCAAAAACCCACAGGAGAGTGACAGAAAGCCTCATACAACAGATGAATGGACAATAAATAATGGAGGAGTGTTGTGAGGGATAAATGGATGCAAGCAAATTGTGCTCAAGAAAAACACACTGAAGTATTAGGGTCAGAGCCCCAAAGGAGAAGAAGTGAATCCAAATGTTGTCCAACAAGAAAGGATTCGCTGAATGATGATATACAAGTGCATGAGCCCTTATAATGGGGTGCAACATACCAACCCCCGCCTGTAATGGATCTGTAAAATATCAGGCAAAGGGGGTTAAACCAAATAGTCATGAACATGGTGCTTCAATTAATAACGAAGGGGGAGGGATAAAATGACACTGGTGACAAAGACAAAACACAACATACCTGTGATGACATTATGTCTAAAAATGGAGGTCTAGGTGCTTCAATATGCTGTGAACACACTTGCACAGAAAAGGAGGAGGGAAGGGAAGGCTGTCCAAGTTTAAATCCTCAGGTAAAGATAGAATTGTTTGTAGATCAGAAGATCCTTCGGTGGGCATAAAATAAACCATTTCCTGATGGCTATGGACGATATTTCCTCGACCAGTAATACCACACATGCAGCCGTTATCACGGGCTATTGATTGAACACCAGTACTTTTGGTAGCCATTGTAGTCATAATAGGAAATTGTGAATTTAAAAATAGTGACTGACTCCTGGTAATTGAGAGAGAAATAGAATTCAGATTCAAATAAAGAAATCCAACATGATAGTGAATTATATACTGAATATTTTAAAAACTCACTAAAGAAAAAGTTTGAAATCAAGCACTAAGTCTTAACACTTTCGTGCCAAATTGAAAGTGAAGATTGGGTTCAGCTGCAATAGGAAGGTGCGTCACACTCCTATTAGTGAATGGTTGTTGCATGTTAATTTGCTTAAACACAGCTGAACCATGTAGTATAAACGTAGAATTAAGTGGGAGTTCAAAGCTAGTGGTGAGTGAAACTTTGTGCACTAGAGGGCAGTCAAATCGAGAATAGCTATAACTGTGAAAAGAGGTAAGTAATCATATCAGAATCTAAATTAACTAACTGATCAAAAGTTAAATGTCAATAAAGAGCACTGAACTATGGGGCCCATGAAATGCTGTGTATACCACTGAATACTTGGATAGTTGATCCTTTTAATTAATGAATGAAAAGTGCAAAATATTATTGCTATTCCTACGTGTATTCACAATGTAGAAATTTCTCATCTATAAAAAGATTATTTTAGTAATTATTTTTCTTCTTTACTGGAATATTTTTTGAAAAAGGAATAATTCCAAACTAATAACTATTAGGGATAAGATACACAATTAAGCTTTAGAAGTGTCTCATTTAACTTTTTTTAATGATTTTAAATGCTGCTTAAGATAAATTATTAAACACATTCTTATCCAGTCTTTATTGACAGAATATGTCTTTAAAATAATTTAAGAGAAATGAGAATAAGGAATTACAAACTTGGAAAATGTATTGTTTATACATCTTAGCACTTTTAGAATGTTTCATATCCTACTTACAATAAACTCTTCTACCTACTTAAATCTTTTTCATGCTGTGATGCTTATTTTATTGCTGATTATCACAAAAACCTTAAATCATTTTGGGTTAAATTGTATAGAGAAATGTGAAATTCCATATTACTGCATGTAACACAACTTAGTAAGATTACAGGTATATTTGTAAAACTTTAATCATTTTACTGTCTTTTGACATACACAGATTTGTAACATATAATTAATTTTGATTTCTTTTGTCTAAATGCCCACAAGTGGTTCAGCACAGATATCACACTGTGTAGCTTTATGCTTAACAACAATCATCTCTGTCTAGCTGTAAATAAGTTACCAGATATTCAGTGATTTGTTAACACCATAGTAAAAGCTGCTTCAGAAAAGATAATGTTGATAAAATAATATAATATAAAGACCCTTACTTTTCTTATTTGTGGCTTGTTACCAACACTGGTAAAATTATGGCTCCATTTTATTGCCCTGACCCTGCACATGGAGAATAAAACCTTAGTTTGACGAATAACCTGAAGAGTCTTCATGTTTTCTCTATGCAATGAAAGATAAAATGTTTGTGAGAAGTACCAAATAATATACCATGACATTAGCTTACAATTATTTTGAAAGACTTAAGTGTAAACAAATTAGTTAATAATGAGATTAAAATACATATGTGAAGATGCAGCAAGTATAAGAGTATATCATTATATCTCATCCATATTTTCTAATTAAGTTAATATAGGTATGCAAAAGGTTTAAGACACAGTTTGCATAAAATTAATTTTTTTTATTGTGTGGATATATTTACATTAATCATGCAATTTGTAAAACAATTTTACTAAGTGAAATTTGTACATTCAAAACATGAATAAATTCAACATGAAGTTTGTTTTAGTAAAAAATCATAGGATAATTTTTTACATGAAAGATAAAACTAACTTATAATTTTAATTTCTTCAGTCTAGCTGGAAATAAACTACCAGACATCCAGTGATTTCTTAATACCATGGCAAAATTTGCTTCAAAAGAGTTAACATTGATAAAATAATAAAAATAACTTTACTTTTCTTATATGCTTGAAAGACATTAAAAAGACAAAAACATAAAACACAAGTTGCTGCTAGAGTTGGCTGATTACATTGATTATTGTCATGTAAATTAATAAATTAGTTAAAATTATGGTTAAACTGATCAATGTCACAAAAGTAATCAACTAATAAAAATTATTGTTTTTGATTATTCCAACTATTCAAGTAATTCAAATATTGACATATGATTTCTTTTTATTATCTTTGACTAATTTAAGATTGTTCAGCTTAAATTAGTGTAATGACCCATGAAAATAATCAACTCATCCAAATTAGTGTTTCAAATGTTTGATTTTTCCAACATCCAAGTCTTCTAAGAATAATCAATCAGTTCAATGTACTGGATTAATGAGCCTGATGATTAATAGTTTGTAAATTCCATTAAATGTCCAGCTGTAATTACTACTACTACTACTACTACTGAAATGCCTGTTTTGTGGTAGCATCGTATTTCTTGGTATATTCTATTAACTTGTATATGAATTTTTTATTAATTTCCTACATATTGCGTCTATTTTTTGCACCAAACTATCAGGACCACAGTATGTATTATTTTAATAAATATTATTAAAAAGTTTTGCATCTAACCTTTTATCACTATTATTATCGTCTAGAATATTTCATATTTCAAATAACTGCATAGTTATACATGTAATACTGTAATATTCTGCCACTAACTAACAAGCATTTTGTTTTTTCAATGAAGAAATTTAGATTCTAATTAACTTACAAGCTGCAATCACGAGATACTGCATTTGGCCTTTGTCTAACTTAAAAGCGTGGTATAAGATAATTATTCTTGTCTTGTGTGAACACATTTGGAAAGCCTCTCCTACTCCAGCAGTCAGTGAGAAGTCATAACAGGGAGTAAGAAGCTGGCCAATGTGGTATTAGTTGTGAATAAAGATTTATTTTGTTGATTTTAATTTGTTTTCCCCAGTTTATTATTTTCAAATTATTTCCTTAACCTGTATTTTTATAGAAACTTTTGACTGCATGTTGGATATCAGTATACCTGAATACAAGAAAAACAAATTCAGCATCCTTGAGCAACACGTATTATTTTCATGCTTAAGAAAATAATGAAGGAGAAGTCTATGAGAAACAATGTCAGTATGTCAGTGGAATTAGCTAAATTCACTTTGAAAAAATAAATGTTGCAAATTATTTCTTAATTGTTGTTTGCAATATTGACTTCTTCAGGGTTGAATGCATACAAAAGTTGTTGGCTAAGTGAAATGTATACAATTAGTTACAGAATAAGATTTTTGTAACACAAACTTCTTATTAGGCGAGTAAAATTACTGTAATGTAATGATTCTTTTCCCTTTTGTAAGTAACAATAACAATTTCTTAAGATCAACAATCATGTAGGCTGGGATGAATTTGGTGAGACGCATGTAAAGAAACCAGGAACAAAGTGCAGGTAAACTATGCAAAATAAGTTGTTCCTATTTAAAAGCCTACTTTAATTATTCACTCTTAGTGTATTGAAAAAAGGATAAGTGTGTCAATTTTCTAAGAATCTGATCTGTAGAAATCTTCATAAAAGGAATTTCTTTGAAATACAGTGTTACAAGTTATTTGATAGGGAGAGAGCATGGAAATAAAGGGGAAAAGTGACTTTATATTTAAAATGTGAGTTACTGCCTCTTTAAGTTGAGGATATCAAAGCTAATATCAATGAGATTGAATCTATTTGGGTTTCTGTTAGTGATTACAAGGGGGAGAAGACTTTTACTTGGAATTTGTTACAGACCACCAGATGAAACTGATGAAATTAATGATAAGCTCTACAACTGGATAAAAAATTCAACTATTACTGATTATTAATTATGGGAGATTTTAATTTCAGTCATACAGATTAGGAAATATTAGAGTCAAATCATGAGGAAGACAGGTTTTTAGAAATTGCTCAGGATGGGAAACTACTAGGAGCAATATTATTTTAGATTTACTGTTAAGTACTAATAAAGAAATAGTTGATAAGGTAGAGATTAGTATAAATTCAGGTGTAAGTGATCATTGCTCAATCAGATTTGTTGTTTGTAGCATATGGAGATAAGCAATAATGAGATTTTGGTTCCAAAAAAGTAAACTTTGAAGAGATGAGACAAGAATTATCTGTTGCAAACTGGGCAACTGAATTAGAGATACTGATCAAATGTGGAAATATTTTAAAAATAAATTCTTAAATATTCAAGATAGGCATGTTTCTTAAAGACAAAAGAGGGTGGCTGCAAGTAAAAAACCAAGTTTGCTCACAAACAATATAGAGGATGAAATTAAAGAAAATCATTATAAATACAAAAAGTTTCAATTGACTGCAATGATGGGAGACTTGGAGACTATAGAAAATTAAGGTTGGCTGGTTGAAAATATACAAATAAATAGTAAACATTTCTTCAAATGCATTAAGTGTAAGCCTTTGAGGTATGATACAGGAAGGTTAATGTCTGATATTTATGGGATAGCTGGGTCATTAAATTTACTTTTTCTTCAATTTCTACTAAAGAAGATTTAAGCAATATTCTTCACCTTGAACAGTTGCTAGATGGAAACAAAATTAAGCAAGATGATCACATTAATTCTAAGCTTGTTAAGAAAAAATTGGCAAGTTTAAAGAATGATAAAGTTCTTGGGCCAGATAATATTTCCTCAAGTGTTTTGAAGAAGGATAGAGCATAGACAGCCCACTGTGTAGATTTGTGCTTATCAAGTAACAAATAAACAAACAATCACACTGAAGGATTGCTATCATTATTATTATTATTATTATTTTTTATAAGATCTTGATGAATAAGTAGGTGCCAGAATAAGGGAAGTTGACTAAAGGTCTCCCTATTTTCACGGGAGGTGATAAAAACTGTCCCAATAATTTTAGACCTATTAGATGGCCAATGGCAAAAAAAGTTTTTGAAAGTCTGATAAAAAATGCTTTACAAAGACATTGAACAAGTTTTAAATTTTGCACTCTAGACCTAGTCTCTGGATATTGCCAAGTCGAACTGGATGATGAGAGAAGAGCCAAAACTGCTTTCAGCAAACAGGATGGTTTTCTTAAGTTACAGGTTTTGCTAATTAGCCTATATAATGCTTCTACTACTTTCTGAAAATTAAAGAAGCTTACACTTAAAAGGCTCGTTGGTAAAGGTGCCTGGTATATGTGGACATCTACATACTTTACCATACATTTGAGGGTGCTATTATTAACCTGTTCCATGGTTTTACACTGGATAAGAACCACAGGATTAAGATTGAAATCTGGGAAAGGTATACCCATGTGCACATCAATAGAATTCCTTAGTCATATCAGGAGCAGAAGTGTCTGAACAGACCTTGTGAAGATCACAGTGGCTCGAGACTAACCCCAATCCATGATAAGAAGAATAATTCCCTTGGGTTTATCTTATCAGTGTTTCATGGCCAATTTTTCTAAGACTGTCACACAGATTACTGATCTACTATAGCTGATGCACATTTCAGGTGGACAGAGGAGTCTGAGCACACAGTACATTTCTTGAAGTGAACTTTAGTGGAATTGCCCCTTCTGGCGTGTTTACAGCATGATTGTGAGTTCCTGTTTGATATCAATACCAACTACAGCAGAGTCAGAGAAAGCTTAGTTAGAGAAGGTTAGTTGCAGGAGTATGAAGTGGTTATAAGGTCTGGGAATGCAACATGGAAATGCAGCTAGACTATCCTGTGGTATGGACAAACTATTTCTGTTCATTGAATGTCTTGATCCAGAACACCAAGTTGAGAAAAAGTCATTTCAACTGTCATAATGCAGTGCCACATGACAGGTTATTTCACTGGTGAATGGATACCAAAACTCATCCCTCAAAAGCTCCAGCAAGAGCAATCGAGATCTAGAACTAGCACGGTACTTGCCATGTAGTTAGAGAATATGTGTCCAGCATAGGTTGATGAACTGAGAACATGTAGTCTGTGCATCAATTTTATCAACTAACAAAAAGTAGGAACAGGGTTTGCAGTCAGTACCAGCAATACTCGGTGTCCAGTATCGGTACTGGTTTATAGTATATCATATGTTGAGAATAATATCTGTAATCAAATGTCCCATCTTCAGACTGAATGCCTCCTCTGGTATTTCAGCTTCACTTTTCACAGAATTATAAATGTTTGATGTGGTAATTTTGAGTTCATATGTCAGTCGATAAGCGAATCTCAATGTAAAAACTGCTAATAGCATGAAATATGGGAAACTGATGACTTCCATACTCTGGAAGAGAATGTGAATGTGCCTATATGACTGACTGCACATTAGGTAAGTGCATGCATAATTAACCCTTAGCATGCAGGCAGGTCAAACTGCACGTCATGACGTTTTAGTGGGTTACATTCAAAATTTAATTACACTACTTAATTATCATGAATAAACTTGACATAAAACCATAGATAATAAATCAAATTTTAATATTATATAAGTTTTAAGTT